CCCTCTCTCTGAAAGGCTCCCGACTCTATCTCTGTGTCTTTCTTTCTGCATCTTTCTTTTGCTTCATCCTCACTCCCCTATTCAGGTACTGTTCCACAAGTGACAGCGGCGGGCTCCGTCAGTAAGCGAAATGAGTGAGAATAAGGTGTAATAATAGATTTTAAATGTCTTTAAGTAGAAAATGATTTTACTACTGTCAGAACATAGGAGAAAGGTATAAATTCTCTTTTAGTTATGAAGAGTCCAAAGTGAGGGACATATGTCCCCAAAATTCACCTTGAAATTCTGGAATTAAAGATCTCAAAACTAGGAGAAAGCACTAAGAAGGCTTCCTTACTTGGAATAAATTACTCACCTGGCTTCACCAGATGATATCCAGTATTGCCCTTCACTTGGACCCCACAGACTATGCAACTGAAAGATAACTGGCATTATCTTCATTTTCACATGGCAAGAAAATTAAGTTACCTTAGTAGTGGATATTTCACAACATGATTCTTGAGCAATGAAGTTTGTATTACAGTAGATTTTAAGTTGGTGAAGTTCAATCTGTTAAAAAATCAGTAGAAAGTACATTGTTAGATTTTTTTGAGAGTCAAGATTTAGGCAGTTAAGAACTATGGTAATTAGAATGAAAAGGAAACAATATAAATTAGTTAATTTTATGTAATTTAGGATTTGTTATTTTATGGACTTCTTGGGAAGTAAATTCAGAGTGAGAGGTAGACCTATAGATAAAGGAAATTAGGTAATGAAAACTACTGCAAAACTTATGTAATTGTTTCAAACAATAAAAAAGTATTTAATTAAAAGGAGTTTTATGCACCACAATAAAGTATGCACATAAAATGAGAACATTTCAACATAAAAAAAAATTGAAGAAAAAGCAAAGTCAAAGATATGAGAATATGATGGAAGGATTTTATCTGTACTTCCATACCTCTTTTTTTGAGGCAATTAAACAATTCTCAATAAGGAAAAAGAATATGTATTTAGTTTCTTCTCTGTGTTTCATAAATTCTGTCTAAAAATGAGTGGTTTTTATATCATATTAGAATATTCCTGAACAATATTTATAATCATTTACAAAGTAATTGATTCTATTTGCTTAGATGCATATTTTTTGGCATTTTGACATGAAATTAGAAGTACTTCAAGGAAAGTATAATTTTGTCCTTTAATGAGAGATCAAACAATTCTCTAAGAAGAAGTAAATAATACTATTAATAAAATGTCAAAATGATAAATACTTAAACAGCTATTTGAACTTCTTAGGCACTGAAATGTATTAAATAAGGCTTTTTATCCCTAGGTATTGAGTGGAACCTTGAAATTAATTTGTGGTTGCAAATTTTTGAGTTTAATTAATAACTAATTGTATGATATTTGATGTATAACATAAGTTGGAATCTCTCTCCCCTCCTCCTCCCCCTTTTTCTCTTTCTCCTTCTCTATCTCTTTATTTTCCCAATGTAACAGAGCTAGCATTACTTTGAAGTTAATCAATAAGTACTTTCCACAGAAAGTTCAAATTGTTAGCTGTGAATCTCGGCACACACACAGCCACACACACAGAGGAAGGAAAAAAGGTATGACTTTACGCTAAGATAAACAAAATCAATTTGGTTCCTAGAAAGTCTTCAGAGATCCAAATACCTTGCAGGCACTGTAATGAAAAACTCTGACACTAAGTGACATTTAATGATTTTTCTTTGGTAACTTTTCACAAAGTTATTGCGGTTAGCTTTTATTTATAAAGTTTAAATACACTGTCTTAAATATCATAATGAAATACTGGCAGTAACATGTAAAGAATGGAGAATGTTGTGTAAAGAGCAACATTAATTGGAGAGTCCAGTTAATATTTCTCTTAACTAAAATTTATCTCATCATTGTTATCAAAGTAGCCAAAAATATTGAAATCCTATTGTGTGCCATTCACTGTGTTAGGTCTTACATGTAAGTTATTATACTTAGCTAAAGATAGATTATCAGTTTTTGAGGGATTAGAAATGAGTATTCCTCATATTGAAATTACAATTTAATTTACTTGTGCTTTCATTATTGATACCTTAGAATCCTTTATTGATACAATGTTTTAGAAAGAGAATATTCATAGCCAAGTTTATACTGACTCTTGTCAAACTGAAGATTTGTTTCTTTTAAAAATTATTTTTTATCAGTTTTGTCACCTCTTTCTCACAAAAGCACACAGATAGAATATGTAATATAGGACCCAATTATTAGAATGATTTTTTTCAGTAACATGCATCTCAAAAAAAACATTGTCACACTACAACATATCTGTAATTTTTACAGAACATATTTGAAGATGATGAAAAATTAGTAAACTTAAAGTTTTAGAAGGACTAAGAATCTTTTAAATATATGTGTATTTTGTTTGTTTAATTCAAATGGTGACTTCCTCATGATATACTTTCAATTTTATCCTCAAATGAACTAAGAATCCACATTAAAGAATGGAATCACTGTAACAATGCATATAATTTTTACTATTGCCCTTTTATGAAGATGTGTCTGATATTCTTCAGCTTTAAATTCTGAGACCGACTCTCATTCCTTGAAAAGTGAACGTGACACAGGACACAGAACATTTGACTTTTAGAGGTAAAGCTCCAAGGCTGGTTCCCACTCATGCCTTTCTTCCTGCCACTCTCATTTCCACAAACTTAGCTCAGTTTCCTCGTGAGTTCTTCCAGGTCCTCTGAAACCAGAGAACACCTTGCTCTTATTAGTCCTATAGGAGTCCAGATTCCAACCCTGAACTCTGGTGCCCCAAGCAGGTGCTACTGTCCCTCCCCTGAACTGTGGGGCGGAGTCCCTGGAGCTGCCTTGCCCCTACCTGTTCTCCCTACTCCTCAAGCTCATGTCTCAGAGGCCACACTGCTGGCTCCTGCTGCCTCCATGGGCATTTGAAGAGTGCGTTCTGAGAGGTCTGTTCAGTACTGTTGTTACGACTACTACTATTATTATTAGCACCCACCATTTACTGACAGATTGGAATCCTTCCCTTAGCCTTTGTGATTTTTGAAAACAGAAAAAGTCTGTGTTCTTTTTTTTCTCGCCTTCTTATGCCAGTGTCTAGTCCTGAATAGATAAATGGATGCACAGAAAACTGAGCATACATTCCTTACTCACTATGGTGTAGACCTTGCATGATTACAACTAGGAACTTCATCAGTTCTATCTTAATTGAGGGTACCAAGGCTTGGATGAATGAACACCTACATAGATAAATTAACAGGAGATAACAAGTTAAGCAGCTGAGCTAGGTTTTAAACCCTCATCTGTCTGACACCCAAGCCAGCTCGATCACCCTGATGCCAGTGAGGACTTGTTCTCAGTGTGTGCTGCTTCTTCCCAGTCCTGTTTTGCTGGTCATTCCTGAGCCCTAGCGATGTTACAATGATTTTTCTCTCTCACTCTCTGCAGAAAATACTTCAAAAAACAATTCTTTAAAAATACATATATTAATATGAGTTACAGGCTGGAATCTGGAAAGAAGCCATATATGGATTATGTTTAAAACTATAGGAAGAGATGTAGATAGAGACTAGGCTGGAGCTCATCAGTGGGTTGGGAAGGAAGAGTCACTGAGATCAAAGGAGAGAAGGGTGTGTTTCCAGAAGAAGCACACAAAACTATCTACAGTACACAGTACTTGATACTGTGATAAATGACTGTTACGGTTTTATGTACTTACCATGACATGCTATGCTTTTCATCCTTTAGAGCATAATCCTACTTATAAAAAAGAGTTTCCTGTAAAACAGTGTGCTGCTATGTCAGTGGTAGCTGCATGTATCTCATGTTTAACTATGTATTTGGATAATATCAAGGAGCCATCACAGATGATTGACGTTTACCTTCTCAGTTTGCTCTTAGAAGTTGAACTCCGTGTGGTACTTTGCGATCCCCTCAGATGAAATTGCCTAATAACATATTTCTCAAATTACATTTCCATCATGTGACACATGACTGTATTGAAATTTACATTTAAAAAATTTGGCCTATGTGGAGTCTACTAGCTAATTAGAATTTTTTTTTCAGACTACTAATTGTTTAATATTAGTTTTGAAAATTTTTCTAAAACAAATCACATCCTTTGATGTCTTGTTAATGCTTGAGATTTTTTAAAAATTATATGGAAAAATGTTTAAATACTTTTCAATTTTGCTTTGGTTGAGTGCTATTATATTTGAATACTATTATAGTTTTTTCCCTTGCATTGCTTTTCTTTGAACAATTTTAATTTTTGTATATGTGTGTGTTTAGTGAATGATAATAAAGTTATATATTTTTATTTTAAAAACCCATATATTTAGAAATAATAAGTTGGCCAAATAACGTTTGCACAAAGCCATATTTTTAAAATAAAGTTGAGGTAGTAAGTCATTTTTTGTTAACAAAATTGGCATTTTTATTTGGTGAACTGCATTCAGAGTTTGGGTATTTTCCTATCATTGCACCCACAAGAAAATGTGTAGTCATCCAAACTAGATATTTCTCATTTTTATAAGATTATGGGCTTTGTTTTCTAGGGAGATTAATAATAAGTCTACATCTTAGCTTCAAATGTAATTTGTAAAGGCCTTTCTCATCTGCAAGACTTTCCTGCCAATTTTCCTCATCCAAATGACCCATTGATATGTTTTAATGATTGCATTTCCTTTCTATAGAACCCTGAAAACCCAAGTTTATAAAAAATAGTCTGAATACAAAGCAATTGCTATTGTGTGGAAGAATAAATGAAAACAGATAATCTGGAATCATTTAAAGTTCATCTTTTTCCAGTCATTCCTATTCAAAACATATGGGTTTAGACCAAGGTTACATTTTGCATTATATTTTCTATTTTTACTGAAATTTACTTCTAGAAATCTTATTTTTAAAGGCATGATCAAATTCTTTTAAATGTACTTACTGGAGAAAATGAGTGAAAAGAGAGAAGATAACGTGAAAGTATCATTGGAAAGGAATGGCTATCCTTTACACATTTGATGACAAATTAAACAGTGACTAGAAGGGGCTCCACTAGAGATAAATTAAAGGAAGAAGCTTTTAAGAAAATACTTTGTTTTAACTTAGTGGCACTGGCTCTCCTATAAAACTACCCTTAGAACTTACATCCACAGGCTTGCCGTCTGAAGCTCGCGCAGCAATAACTGTCCTTCCCTGAAAATCAACAGGGTCCTTCTCGTCGGTCTGCCGACTTGCAGTTAAATTACAGTCCATATAGAGTGAAATGGCCCGAGATTGTACATCAATGCCGAGTTTATGCCACTGACGATCAAACAAAGGACGCAGTTCTCGATTTTTAAAAACGTAGTTCAACACATCTCCCTCAGAAGCTTGGAACATAAATTCCACGACCTTCTTTGTGCCATCAACTACTATAGAAATCTGCAAAAATACAAGTTATCTTTCAATGTTTAAATTGTTTAAAAATCTATGCTCAAAATTATTAAAGGTCCCTAATATAAGCCTAAAATGCATGATTACAAGTGAAACATTAATACAATATTTTAGATAACACCTGTATTTGCTAACATAAAAGAATAACTAACCCCCAGCTGTACACAGTCTCTTTTACATGGAGCATTGTGATGAATGTAATACGACTCTACTTGAGAGAGGGTCTAAGAGTGTGCATGTGTATATAGACTGTATTAATTACTTTATATAATTTTATAATATGTGACATATTTTATATTAATAAATTGTAAATATATAATATAATTTTTATAATTTTAAGTAATACCACATAAATTAATTTATATACAAAACATAAGTTTATATATAAATTATTGTTCTGGAAGAGTAATTCAAGAATCCAAGGTTACAGTTGGGTATGGTGGTGTACACCTGTGATCTCAGAACCTGGGAGGCTGAGGAAGAAGAATCGCCACAAGTTTGAGGCCAGCCTGGGCCACATAAGTGAGTTCAAGGCCAGCCTGAACTACATAGTAAGACTCTATCTCCAAAAATTAATAAATAGGATAAAACAAAAGAAGAATTCAAGGTTACCAATTTAAAATAAGAAAATGTTTCTTTTTGCAGGGGATGGAGATCAACTTCTTAACCTTTGATGATTTACATGCAAAGAAAATATATTTGATACACACTTTTAATTCAATTCATCTTCCTATCATAACATTGTGACTGCATGAACAGATAAAATGATTGACAATATTAAAAACATTTCAATAAAAATGTATAAAAATAAACACAAATGCATGATGTTAAGAAGTAATCTAGAGATTTGAGGCATCTACGTGCCCTCTTTTCATTTCAAATGCCATTTCTCCACCAAGATTTCCTGGATTCCTGCTCTCTCTGTCTCTTAACTTTGATGGGATATCCTTTTTATATTCTTATAGTCCCCACCCAATGCCATGTTATTGTGCTGTTATATTGTTCTGCTAAAAATGTCTTACCCTTACACTTTATGCTCCTTAAGAATAGTTCTGTTCTTTAAATCTCTTATCTTGTTCCATAGATTTTATTGATGTAATAAATATGTCTCACCTCTTAATTCACCAAGGATTGTCAGGTGAAACAATGAACTTCTGTAAAAGTAATATATAACATCAAAGTTGATAGGAGGTTAAAAAGCTACTAGTGAGGTGGAGATAGTGAAGGAAATACAGTCCCAGGCTCTTCAGCCAAAATATGAATCTTGAAGTTAAAAAAAATAGCCATCTCACCCACCAGACTCCCATAGATCTCAGCAAGATCATCTTAATTATAACACTTGCATTTCCCTATTGATAATTTCTCTCAAAGATGAATATTTGGATAGTTGATCAGCTCCCAAATTGGGGCACACAGTTCCAAGAAGACTCACCTGGCCTAGTGGTACAAAAGGCTAAGCACAGCTCTTGTGGTGTCTTACCTGGGGCATATTCTGCTGGTTTAAAACCTGCCACAGAAACCACCGTTCCTTCTTTGTGTTTCTTCGTACACGAAAAGTGGCTACTATGGAGAATTCCTCTGGAAGACCTTTGGGAAATACCTTACTGTGGGAAGAAAGAAAAGATTATTGTGGGAAGACTAAAGATGGCAAGGAAAGAAAATCTAGGTATGAAGTTCCACGTAGCACGGTATCTCCATCATACTTGTCATCAATTTATAACTTATTATTCATTTTGACAGTAATTTACCTACTGGAAATATAGAAGTATTCATGTCTATTCTCATTCTCTTCCTATTTTTAACCATCTGGTATGGTGGGTTGAAGTTTCGGGAATGCATAGACAAGTCGATAGGCTACCATATTAGGTTGTGATTTCTCTTATTGAATTTCCTCAACAGAGGAGAAATCTTAGAAATCACTGCAGTCTGACAAACAGTTACAATTTATCAAGGACATAAATAATATTTCTTGATTTTACTGGTAGAAAGAAGTACAGAGAATTTCAAAGAACACTGATAATAAATGCATAATTTGCAAAGAAGTTTTATCAAATTAACATTTGCAATAAGTTCCTAACACTGATTTCGTAGGACTGATTTAAGATGACACTAAATACAGCAAGGAGATATATCTTTATTTTTCATTCTTACAGAAAACTTTTAAAAAATATTTCTAAGTAGCAGAGAAAAACTAAGAGCCAATTCAAATATCCTTTTACCTCAATCATGCTGACGAATACTGGTTTTGCTAAAATCATGAGGAAAATTAGAAAAAAAATTTGCAGTGAACAAAGATGGAATTTAACTCTCATTAGAATTCTCATTGAATGTAAAAATTCTGCAAGGCAGAAACCCTGCTTTTTGTACACACGCGCACACACACACAACAATAAGTAAGAATCTCTCTGAGGACACACATAGCCAGAAGCTGTTAAATATAAGCAAATACCGTCAAATGAAACAGTAATTATTATCTTTGAATTTTATACTCTGCTGTACTGAACCTAACACACAACTATTAAAACTGATAAGCTATCATGAAAAATACTAAAATTTTCTTTTTACTCTGAGTGTCAAAGACAAAGTCACATGTGATAGAGAAATCAGGAAAAATATGAAAAAACTGTGTTATCTCAAGTTCTTATTTAGTTTTTTTTTATTAAAGCGTGTGTGTGTATGCGTGTAAGAGAGAGGGCTGGCTTTACAGTGGTGTGAAAGTGATATGCACTCCGTAGAAACTCCACGACTCTGAATTCTGATCTTTTCGGGGCTAGAAACAGCAACATCCTCTACTCTGGTGTGACCTGGGTTGCAGCAGGAGCCGCACCTCCCAGCAGCTCATGATTGGGAGAGTAACCAACAGATGCTCCGCAGTTATTGCATGGCCAAGCTGGTGTGTGGTGGCTTAGGTATATTAAACACATTGTTTGACTTGCAAGGTTTTCAACTTTCTAAGGGCATATGGGTGTGTATAAATATACCTATACACACTCTAGTCTCACCTTCTTCCTAGAGGATTTATTGAAAAGAGAAACAACACACTTTATTGCAACTACATTATTATACCCCTTCTTAGGTAAGCAAGCCAGTAGCAAAGAACTCCTTTAATCAATTCCATCAAAATGAAAGTGTCAAAAATGAGATTTTTCTCTGGAATGTCACCATTACCAAAGTAAGCTATAGTTACAATTACTGTATCAGTTTAAGTAATGTCCTTTATTCAAGCAAAACAAAACCCAGGATTTGATGCCTGGCATTTCTCTTTGGGTCTAGCTGTAATCCTGAAAGGTGGGTACACAGAGGGGTGAGGGATGACACCCAACATCCACTTCCAAATGGGAATTCTGAACTAATCAGTGACAGCAAAACTACTCTCAGGGGGGTTTGTGAGCAACGCAGCAGTTCCCACACCATGTGCCACCATAGCTGTGGCTCCATGTGGCTTCAGTGTCCTGCCTGTGCTCACCATCCTGGAACTCTTAGGGCTCAACTGTTACCTCATGTGTTCCAGGATTTGATGATGCTACTATGCCTGGGCATTATTTCACTTACTGTGCTGTACACGTCTGCGGAAATGTGAGGTACATTACTAAAAATACTTTCTCTGTATTATTTTCTCTTCCTTTTTAAGATAACTGTTTAACTCCTATATTAACTACCTAGTATTCTTACCTTTTCTCTCATATTTTTTATAACTTTATTCTACATTGGGGGATATTCCTCTGCTTTCCCAATCCTTGTAATCAACATCAATTGATTTTTATTTTATATCTGTCTATATCTATATTTAAGATATAGATGTATATCTCCAAGATTCTATTTTGTTCTTCTTTTCAAAATATCCTGAATTTAGAATTTTAATCAATATCCTGAATTTAATATTTTTAATCTGTTTGACTTTACTACTAACTGCTTGTGATTTTTAATGTTTATCTCTGGATCTTTGAAAATCTCTACTGTATCCCAACTAGCTTTTCCTATTGCAGTTTGATTCTGTCTCCTATGACAGGGGCTGTACTCTACTTTCTGGTGATCTGTGGTAGCTCATTCATGTTGGAGAGGAAGTACTGAAACTATAGCTGTAAACACTGTAAATACTGGTACCCAGTGTCCACAAGCAAGCTTCACTCCATGGCATAATTGGCAGGAACATTTCATTGTGAGGCCCTCAAATATTAATATAGGGTGATTATTCTCTAGAGATATGTGGTTTATCCAGAGAAGAATCTTCCTATTTCCCACTTGGTAGGTGAGTGGTATTCACCTGGCTAGGGGCATGCCAGAAGCAGGCGGGTATGTGGGAGTCTCACAGTTTGCTACAGAATTTTACTGTTGACTCCTGGGTTTTGGTGTAATACTGCATAGCTCCCTTTGTGACTTCTCTGTGTACCCTCAGTCTAGACTTTTCAGTCTACTGATCTCTGGCTAGACTTCTCTTAGCTATTAAATCTCCCTCCACCCATCTGGTTGCATGGTAAAGGAGGAGGTAATCTGGGGCCTAGGAGTCTCATGTTCACTACATACACTCACAGACACATGCAAACACACACGCGCACACACACACACACACACACACACACACACACACACACTGACACCTCTCACCAGCTTCTGCAAAGCCTGGTTCCTCCTGACTCTGAAGTCCTGTAAGGTAGATAGAGTCACCTCTCACCGATATTCTCCAACCTGAAGCTCTTAAATTCCAGCCTTTTCTATTTGTTGAGTCAGTTATTGGTCCTCCAATTATTTTCTGTCTTCTAGAACATATAATCTTTCTCTGTTGTTTTACATCCCTTTCCACAGTAATGTTTGCATTTTAGAGCATTAAACTTTCTTTTAAATCTTGAATCTGTCCCCTTCCAATGGTACCTTATCTTGGTTTACAAATATAGACCCATCTCCTCCCTCCTATAAATCAAATAGAACTCTCTCTGACCTTGCTGCACCACTGTTATGCTTCCACCCACTTCCCAAACTTTATAAAGTAACCCTGACCCATTGACTCCTCCCCTTCCATCTCCTGCATTCTAAAAATACTTCCAATCAGTTAACCCATTGGCTTCTTCTCAATCTTCAACCCCTCCACTCCTGCTTCAGGTTTTAACACTGCAGCATCTTTTCTTCATTCCTATAAACCAAGATTTACAACCACAATGGCCATGGGTGCAGCTAAGAAACCTGGAATGTGTAAGCACTTGAGCTCCTTTGTCTAATCTATTTGCCAGCATCTACAGCAGTGCCTGCCCAAGGTAGGTACTCAATAAATATTAAGTAAATCAATTAGTGGACCGAGTTCAGTGTAATTTTTTTAGATTAAAAATACATGACCCTCTTAGCTTTGGTTTTTCCATCTTGGATAGAAACGTGCTTGCAAGAAATTGTCACTTCTATCTTAGCGCTTTTGTATGAAACATAAATAAGCAAGTGAGTTAATGTTAGCAGGTCCTCACCCAGAGGACACATGTATGGACTGTGGGAAACTGAGAGCCCAGCCCATCTACGGGGGCAGCTGCTATGTGGAACCAGCCAACTGTTACCGTATGGGAATGTGCGTCCAGTGTTTTCAAATCATCCTGTCTTTTCAGAAGCCAAAAATGTAGATATTTGTAATCTTAAAAGTTTAGAGTCTTAAATTTTGGCAATTAATACAAAATTTTCATAAGCATTGTCCAGACCAACACTGTACCTGTCAAATAAAACCATGACTGCTGGTTGGCAACTTAAACATTTGCTGGATAACCCAGTGTATGGAGCACTGTGGGGTTTTCAAGATAGGGAAAGGAGGTCTTTGCCCTGCCCTAACTGCTTCATAAAACTTGTTGAGAATGGGGAACCATCCACAGGTAATATAAACAAGTGACATAAATTGAAAAAGAATAGGGAACTATTGAGCATGGCTGAAATGAGTACTCCAAGTTATGAATGGAAAACCTCATGTTGGGAATGAGATTGCTCTCAAAGTCCTATTCACAGCAGAGCAGGATGGTGTGAATAGGATTATAGGTATTAGAGAATCCTGCATAGATCTGAGGAAAGGAAAGTAGATACTTAAAGAACTGATGAATGCAGATGTTCAAGAAATCTTATCTAAAAATTATGAATGCACACTGTAACTGTCCCTAGGTTTCCATGACAATTCATTCCCCCTGTGTCTCCTAATACCACCTTTACTCACTATTTTCACCAAAATACAAGTGCTGGCAAAGAACCTACTTCTCTCTACAAGATTTCTCTTCATCTCAATGTTGTCATCTCTTCATGGGTAATATGCCACTCTTTATTTCCATTCCTAACATATGCACGAAGCCCACATTTCAATGCACTATTCTCTGTGAACTGAATGTGGTTTCTCCCCTGTAGAGCACATGGTCTAGTAGAAGAGTCCGAAAGGTAGCACATCTCATATAGGAAGGCTTTGAGCACCTCTAATGCATATGTTCAAAGAGGACCCTCACTGTTTTCCCTTCTAAGTTTGTTCCTTTCCCATCCATATTCCTAATGCCTATTAGCAGCATCATTTTCTCACTCACACTGGAAGTCTTGGAGTCATTATTGACCATTTCTTTTTTTTTTTGTATTAAATTCTTTTATTGGTACATTGTAG